AATAATAATTTATGATTATAATAAGTTAATTATTAAGATTAATTAATTAGTATAATTATTATAATAAATTAATTAAGCGAACAGCTGCTATCCATTTTTCTTTTCTTTCTTTGAGCCACAACTATTTTGGAAAAGAATAAAATTATAGTTCCGTATTATTGCGTTCAGAATTATAACAACGTCCTACGCAATACATTCTTTTTGATCCTTTATTTTAATTATAAAATAACATTTTCTATCACGACAAATTATATTTAATAAGGAAGATACCTAATTATTTTAAATTTTTACCACCAGTTGGCGCTAAAAAAATACTTCAGAACTCTATACTCCACAATTGTAGCATAATAAACTTATGTATTTTAATTTAATTAAACAATTTTCCTTTTTTCAAAAAAATTTTTTAAAACGCGTATTTTTCCTCGCGGTCAAAGTGGTGTAACCCCTTAATTTGTATATTTCAGAAGAGAAGCCAAATGACAAGTTGAACAACAATACTGTTAAACAAAAGACTTATCAATTATATTACCTTTCAAACATTATTAAATTTATATTTTTATATTAGTAAAAGAAACTTCAAATGACAAATACAATTAATTTAAATAATAAAGTGTAAATCTTAATAATTTTAAAAAAATAAAATTAAATATTAATTTAATAATTTGGTTATATTATTTTCTGTCTTTTCAGAAAAAGGTAAACTTGTCATCTGAGGTTGTACCTGTCAACATCAATTGGGTACGGACATTGAAGCGAGAACGGTTTCACGATAATTTTCGAATATTTTCAAAACCAACGCATATGACATAGTTCTCGAATGGTACTCCACTAGTTGTCACTTCGCGATAGTAATAGTCAAAAAACTTCGTTATAAAAAAAACAATTTAGAAGCATCGAATTTTATATCCATCGAAATTTAATTTGGTCGATATTTTAAAAGCTCGACATTTTTTTAGTTATACGAGTTTCCTCTCTATGTTGTTATTATGATTTACATCAATGATTTCAAATTTCCCTCAAAATATCAATATACTTTACCGACAATTTACATAGAAAGGAAAATCGTATAGCTAAAAAAGTGTCGACCAAATTAAATTTCGATGGATATAAAATTCGATGCTTCTAAATTTCTATCATTTAGAATATCCAACAAATAAAATATCGACTACTTTAAATGTCGTTTATTTAAAATACTTCCCAAACAAAATATGTAACTAATACAATTTCGACCACTTTAAATGTCGATCATTTAGAATTTCGACCAAATAAAATATCCTCTAAATAAAATGTCGACCACTTTAAATATCGACCAGTTAGATTTTCGATCAAATAAAATATCGACTAAATAAAATGTCGGTTATTTAGAATTTTGACCGAATAAAAAATCGACTGACTAAATGTCGACCTTTATAAATGTCTATCATTTAGAATTTCGATAAAATAAAATATTGACTTAATAAAATATCGGCCACTTTAAATATCGATCATTTAGAATTTAGAATAAATAAAATATCAACCAAATAAAATGTTGACCATTTTAAATATCGATTATTTAGAATTTCGTTCAAATAAAATATCGACTTAATGTAATTCGATCAATTAAATTTTCGATCTTTTTAATTTTTGGGAAAAATCATGCGCCTCGATAAACACCTTCTACTTTCTGACGTCCCGTTACGTAGGCCATCAAGAAACGTCAATTCGAGAATCAAATAATGAAAACCCATTAAGCCCTTTATAGACTAATTTTAGCGCCGAGTTCCACAAAAAATTTATTCGATATAGTGCAAATTGTGGATAAAATAACAGACGAAATGCAAGCTTTCGAGAAAAATTAACCAGTAGCGAATGTGGCGATGATAGAGCAACCGAATTCCGAATTATTAATTAAGATGGATCCAATTACGTCTGAATTAGCGAATTTAAAAGAAAAAATAGACAAAGCGAACAAAGGACAAAGTCGATACCGTGGACGAAACCGCAATAATCTCGTTATAATAGCTCACAAGGTAAATGAGCACAAAAAACAAATTCGGGAAAATAACCAGCCTTATTGGACAAACGCAATCGGTGATAATAAAGGCTCAAGACATCTTCATGTTTTTGACAAAAAATCGAGTTTGATTTTTTTAATTGACACGGTGTCGGACATTTCTATTGGTCACGTACTGGAAATTCGAATAGTCCCCCAATAGAAATTAAACAATTCTCGTATATCGACTTACGGCAGCAAACGTCTGCATCTTAATATCGGATTACCTTGCGATTCGAAATGGGAATTTTGTGTGGCCCATGTTCCATATCCCACAATCGGAGCAGACCTTTTGTCTGATTATGGAATTCTTGTAATATATGAGCCTATTGGACGAATACCCGAAAATTATTAAGTTACAGCAGCCGACAATTACATCGAACTGCTACACGGTACATTACACTATAACAAACGGTTATTAAATAGTCTAACGCGCGTGCAGATTAGACCCCGAAAAATTGAGCATTGTGAAAACTCAGTTTCGATAAATGGTAGAAGCAAAAATATACGGAGCGTCAAGTGGCTCATAGGCTTTGTCCATTTTAAGGAAAGAAAAAAAAGATCGAACCTGCAGAATCTGTGGCAATTTTAGTTCCATATTTGCAAGATTTCACAGCCAACCAGTACGAGAAAACCATTTTCTCGAAACTTATTTTGTTCAAGGCTTATCATCGAATTCCGGTAGCATTTTAGCAATATATACATGAAGCTCTAGGCGATCTCCCTTATGTACTCACATACATTGATGATATATTGATGACATCCACTAATCCCGAGGAGGTTAAAAAGCATTTAAGGGAAATTTTTGACAAGTTAAAAAAATTTGGGTTGCGCTTAAACACTTTAAAATGCCAGTTCAGACAAGCAGAATTAGAATTTCTGGGGTTTGTGATAAATAAAGAGGGTTGCAAGCCAACTTCAGAAAAAATTGAAACAATAACCAAATGGCCAAAACCGATCACTAATAATGACCTTAGATCACAGTGGGCACCGGGACTCCTAAAGACGTCTTTTTTTGTCCCTGGACATCCTGGGGACTTTGATGATAATGTCTCAAAGACATCATAAAGACATCCAAAGGACGTCTTTAACATGTTCAATGTCGTGGCCAAAAGACTCACAAATGATATTTAATAGGGATGTCTAAAAGACGTCTTTTGGACGTCTTTAGGACTTAGATATATTTCCTCCAGAATATTTTCTAAGTTTAACACATTAATTATTATCTTATTTATATTTTGACTTTTTTTGTTTTTTTTCTACACGCTTAAACTACGCTCTATAAGATTTATCTTAAACAGTTTCGATGTTTACGTTTAACTTAGAAAATAAAATATAAAAGTTATTTTTATGAATTTTTTTTATTTTCAAAATCTGAAAAAGATGTCTTTTAGATATGATAAAGAGATCTTTATGAACAGACATAAAACCTGTTTTGAACGTTCCTCAGACTTATGATTCACGTTTTTAAGATATACCATACGGGGACAAATTAAAGACCTCCAAAAGACATCTTTTGTCACAAGTCCAAAAGACGTCCGAAAAAAGAATCCTCAGGACGTCTTTTTGAGCAAGTGTGCCGACTGGTATGCTGGCCTGGCGTGGTAACTATTTAACGGAGAAATTTACTGTATGCTGCGCAAGTGCGTTATAAATAATGTGAACTTTAAGTATCGCGGTTAATATGTAAAATTCATTTATTTTTTCTGAAATAATTTGAATATTTTTTTAACTACAAAAATGTTTAAATTCAATTTTTCTTTTTTTTTAATAATTATTATTACATTTATCTATATATATGATGATGGTGTTTAACTTTTTTTTTATTCTCAACGATAAAGTTTCTTTTCAAATGCTCTCCATTTTTTTGTGATAATCATTTTTAGCTCAAATTTTAATTAACCTGGTGGTCTTGTTTCAATATATGAAGTTTTCTCTTATTTAAACTTTTTTGCTATTTTGTAAATTTTATTGAAGTTATTTTTTTCTGGATGATGTGACTCTTTAAGATTGGCGCCCAACAAATTTTTGTGTAATTTATAAAGGATATTTTTTTTATCCCAAAATTTTGTTCGACTAGTAAATTAAAATATTACAAGGTTAAATTTCAAATTTTGAAAAATGTTACTATTCAAAATTTTTTTTGCTTAAATAAAAAATTCCACTTGGGATGTCATATTGGATTCAATATGGGATTCTATGCGGAATTTTATATAGAATTCCACATGGAAATCTATAAGTAATTGCATATGGTTTCTCAAAATCCTCTAAGTTCCGGTGTGCTTTTATATGTGAACCTTCATGGATTCATATATGGAATCCATTATAGGTTTCCATGCGGAATCCCATGTGGGTTTTTCTAGTAGGATGGTACAAGATTTTCTACAGAGCTTTTTTAGTAAGGAGTTGTCGACGTGCGAAACGTAACGTAACCTATTTATTATTTTCTTCTGTTGATTGCATATTATTTGTTTGACCTTCTTTTTCATAAATTGTAAAAGTAACGTATTTTATTACTTGAATAAAATTTTGTTATTATGAATAAATTTTAATTTTGCTGTTGAATGTGCTATATTTGCTGAGGATGTTCCAAGATAGTTTAGTATTTCATATTGAACATACTAATTTTCTATATTTTGTTTTACAAATTTCAATATATTCATACTAGAAATTCAAATAATTTTTTCTTTTTCTTTAAATTGCAACTGTATTTCAAAGAAGGATCTAATAATTTTATATAAAATAAATATCACTAACAACCCACATAGAAGTTAACGATTAGAAATAAGAAACATTACTTGATCAGTCTACCATACTTTCTCGATGGTTTTAAGTTTATAAACATTAGAAGTTTAAACCCACCTTGCCTTCTGCTTGCGATGCAACATTCAAAAAAATTTGTTTAATTTTTATAAAAAAAGTATGCCTAATTTAAAATAATTTCTTTTAATGTGTTAACGTTACTTACTTGCCATGTTCCAATACTTGCAACTCTTCGACCAAACGGACGTTGGAGAACGAAACATAATTTGAAAGCATCTCCTCTAAGTTCTAATAGGTTTCCCAACAATGCTGCGAGTGCAGCCAGTGGAAATGCAGATGAAAAGAGACAAACGTATCCAAGTTGTGATAACATCTCCAAGTGCTCAGAAAATGCACCATCATACTGTAATGAACAAAAATATTCTTATCTTTCTTATAACATAGGACCACAACAAAAATTTGAAATGTATCCAAGATATAATAATATCATTTTCTGACATATTTTAATGCGCTCGAAACGAATCTGAAGTTAAATTGACATCACATTCCACATAGCACGATACTCTGCTGTGAGGTTATAATAAAGGTTAAAAGTATAGCTTGTAAGGTTACTTGATATAGACTTACGATAAACTTAAGACTTCCATCACGAAAGTGCCCAGATAGCACAACTGTTTGCTGTAATTTTGCAGCAAGTTAGCAATTTTAAGTTAGCATGGTAAATTTGCTGCAAAATTGTAGCAAATAGGGATATGTCCACCCTTTTTGAACTTTGCATTGCAAGTTTGCACCAAATTTTTATAGCAAACATAAAGAAAATTCTTGTAGCAAGCTTGAAGAAAACTTGCAGCAAATTAATTGGCAATGCTAATTATTTGCACAAGTTAATGTCTTGCGCAGTAGTCTTCTATCGCACTTTGGGCGACGCAATAGATTTTAGTCTTCTATTCTCCAGGTGATAAATCAAGTAGTAAAATATCAAAAGATTAACTTTTTTTTTAATTTTTCTAGAAACTTTGCTGCAAGTTTTCTGCAAGCTTGCTATCAAAATTTTCTTCATGTTTACTATAAAAATTTCCTGCAAACTTGCAATGCAAAATTTAAAAAGGGTGGACATATCGCTATTTGCCACAATTTTGCAGCAAATTTACCGTGCCAACTTACAACTTGGTATTGCAAAGTTGATGCAATTTTGCCGTAAACAGTTGTGCTTTCTTGGTGAGGTTACTTGTAAAGGATGTGGTATCTATCCCCCCTGGCGGATAAGCCCAACGCGTTTTGAACGGAATAGTGTTGCAACACCGTTGGGAAAACAGCGGTCACTAAAAATGTTATTTACACAATAAAATATGATAAAGTATTTATTGAGATTTGTAGAAAAAGTGTTCATGAGTAATTTAAGACCTTATTTGTATCAATTTAATACGAAATAAGTGAAATGAAAGATAAAATATGGTGCACTGTTATATTAGGGTATTCTGTCAAATTTTTATATAATTCAATGAAAAATGTTTTAGATATGATTTTTTAATAATAGAAAAACAGTGAAAAAGTATTAATTTATTATTTTAAAGCATTTGAAAGGGTAATAAATAGTGAAAATTAATGTGTTTATTGTGTACTTTTTGTGTGTATTGGACAACATTTATCGACAGCAAGTTACAGGTTACATCAGTGAACGCTAGATGTCAGCACAGTAAACAATTAATAAGACTTTGACAAGAAAAGTATTTAATCCAATGAACGTCGATGATGCCTCTAGACACAAATTTAAAAAAATGCTAAAGACTTATTGAATATTCATAAAAAATGTAACTAAGGGGTTTTCGGGGTCGCTAATTACAAATTTGATATCATATTTCCAAAATTCAAAATACGAAATAAAATATAACGAATAGAAAAAAATTAAAACAATCAAATTCTCCATCAGCTTGTTACTCGGTGGTTTTTGGGTTCGCTGATTACGAATATAATAACAGATTTTCAAAATTCAAAATAGTGGATCTAATATGGCCGATCAAAACAATTAAACATTAATCGAATTCTCTCAAAGCTCGTTACTTGGGTTTTTTTGCTGTCACTGATTACGAATCTGATATTAGATTCTTAAAATTCGAAATGGATTAGGCTGAAGAACGTAACATTAAAAGTTTAACGAAAACAAATTTCATAATTATGCATTCTATTCAGTAAAAATAACAAAAATGATTTTGATAATTATAGGGAAAATAATGCAATTTAATACAAAGAAAGAAAATATTTTTCGTTTTCAACATTAACGATTGCAATTACTCAAAAAATAAAAATTGATTGTTTATTGATTCGAGTTGGCATCCTAAATGAAAAAGTGATTGATCTTAAGTGTAAAAATGCCGATTACGTACAGGAAATATGGAATTTTATTAAATTGTGAAAATGAAAAAAATGACAGGTAGAAGCATAGTGTTGATCTATTATCATATAACTTACCATATGATTTTGAGGTTCGCGCTGATAGCGCTGTGTAAGTAAGTTAACTTTTTCTACCTTTTTTCTAGAAAGATGCACTCATGCTCACAGCGCTCTCAGCGCGAACTACATAAACAGCCTAAATCAAATGGTAATAAATGAACACTATACAGCCTGCCTGGCAAATTTATCTTTTTCACAATTTAGCGAAATTTCATATTTCTTTTTCGTTATCGGAATTTTTACACTTAAGAACAATCACTTCTCCCTGTTAAAAATTCCTGCGAAGGAACACACATAGGATCCTATTTCGAGTTCCTTCGTACGTTCCCTTGTATTTTCATATGTGGTTCACTACACAGGATCATTTTGTAAAAGATCCTGTAAGGAACTTGTGTGTGTACTATCATGGTTTCCCACATGTTGAAAATAATTACAACAGGGGATCTAATGATTTTTACTGTGTAAGATCATCTACAAGTTCTTTTATAAACAACTTTTAATGTAAGATCCTACGTAGGATCCGACAGATAATCTTGCGTGTGTTTCTTCACAGGATCCTTTTTACGAAATGTTGTATAAAAGTGTTCCTCCACAGTATCCTTAAAGTGTTCCTAGGTAGGTTCCTGCATGGTAAGCTTAATAAGATCATTTACACTTTTGTACGTACCTTTTTTGTTGCTAAATAATAAGTGTCCATACATGGTATCCTTGGAAGTTTCTGTCACAAGTTCGTACGTACCTTACTCTTGGTAAGTAGTGTGTGTTCCTATATGATATCCTTTGAAGTTTCCTTCACTAGTTCGTACGAACAGAACTCTTTATTAGTGTGTTACTATGTGGTATCCTATGAAGTTTCTTTCACAAGTTCCTACGTACCCTGCTTTTGGTAAGTAACATGTTTTCCTACGTAAAAACTTTTAAAGTTTTCTTAACGAGTTCGTTCCAGAATACTACACTGTAAAAAATTTGGGAATCATTTCCGATAAAATAAGAGGAAATTTTTCCGAAATCAGGAGGAAAAACATTTTTTCCGAATATTTAAAAGGAAATATTTCCAAAAAGATCAGGAAAAATAGTTTTTCCGCAAAAAGCGAAAATTATTCCACAAATATCGGAAAAATTTCCGAAAATAATATATATTTTACCACTATTAGTAGGAAATATTTCCGAAAATGTGAGGAAAAATAGTATTTCCAATGAAAATTGGAATTTATTCCTGAAACTTCGGAAAAATTTCCACAAACAATGGATACTCTACCAATATTAGTACGAAATATTTCCGAAATTGGGAGGATAAGTAATTTTTTTATTTAAAAAATGGAAATTGATATATTATTAAATAGGGAAAATATTATGTTTTTGAAATAAAATTAAATTTACTTAGATTTTATAATTTAATTGTAATCATATGCAGTTATAAATAAATTAATTAATTAAAATAGTATTTGTTAATACATTTAATTTATAAATAATGGTTCATATAAATGTATATAATTTTACATTTTTTCCGACCGTTATAAATATTTATAAATATACTATCAATTTAGGAAATTATATGTTTATATTTAAAAAAATTTGCTCGACAATTATTTAAAATAAAACAATAAATTCTTTAAGGTCACTTGCACTATTAGAAACTCCCTACGCCTTAGAGTTTTTCAGTGTACAAACACAAAATTTTTTTATAGCCTCCCTTGGTCGAGCGCGTTAACGCGGCAGTTCCCAATGGTTGTAGGCTGTATACACAGATACACGCACACAAACTATAAGATTCGGTAGTTCAAGTCCTAACTAAATCGGTTCCTCTAGATCTGAAGATATAATTGCAAAATTATCATAAAAATATTTTTTTTTATTTAATTGATGCTTCTTACACCATGTTATTGCAAAATATTATATTTTATGAATTTATTACTTTAATTTTTAAGTAAATTGTAGAATTTCGAACAAGTTCGGAAAAAATTCCTACTCAATAGTAGGAAAAATTTCCGGAATATGTCGGAGATTTTTCCCAATTTTTATTCGGAAAAATTTCCACCCCATGGGGTTACGTGCTGTCCGTATTTTTTCGGAAATATTTCCGAAAATTTTTTACAGTGTAGAAGTCGAAAAACAGGCAAGGCAACAATTACATAAATAAAAAAAATAAAAATTTTTTGTGACATCCTTTATAGGATCATATGTAGGAAACTATATATAAAACTATATCCTAATAGATTCGTTTTAAAGGATCACACGTGGGAAACTTTGTAAGAATTTTCAATAGGGTCAACATACTAAGGATCACACGTAGGAATATATAATAGTAACGATGTAGGAATGAACTCGTTAAGGAAACTTTAAAAGTTTTTACGTAGGAAAACATGTTACTTACCAAAAGCAGGGTACGTAGGAACTTGTGAAAGAAACTTCATAGGATACCACATAGTAACACACTAATAAAGAGTTCTGTTCGTACGAACTAGTGAAGGAAACTTCAAAGGATATCATATAGGAACACACACTACTTACCAAGAGTAAGGTACGTACGAACTTGTGACAGAAACTTCCAAGGATACCATGTATGGACACTTATTATTTAGCAACAAAAAGGTACGTACAAAAGTGTAAATGATCTTATTAAGCTTACCATGCAGGAACCTACCTAGGAACACTTTAAGGATACTGTGGAGGAACACTTTTATACAACATTTCGTAAAAAGGATCCTGTGAAGAAACACACGCAAGATTATCTCTCGGATCCTACGTAGGATCTTACATTAAAAGTTGTTTATAAAAGAACTTGTAGATGATCTTACACAGGAAAAATCGTGAGATCCCCTGTTGTTATTATTTTCTGCATGTGGAAAACCATGACACAGGGCGCGAACTGAAGTATAGCCATAAAATTACGGACTTTACTGACTAAAAAGCAGAAATTACGGACCATTCACTGACCAATAATGGACAAAA